CAGATATTTAGAAATGTCTGTGTAAAATGCTCATCCACATCCGTGTGGGTAAAAGATCATAATTGTACAGTTTCATAAATGTCTGTGGTGAAGCAACGGAAAAATCATGGCCGTATGATTTTTCCTGATTGATTGCTTAAGTTGTTATTTTCATAATTTGCCAAATTAATGTAAATGTTTGATGTTAAACTTTGATTCTGTAAATAAATGACTGCATTCATTTTGATGGGTCAAACATAAATGACGTCTCACGTTTGCATTTCATTAAATTCAATGCACGTTTTATTCAGTCCAGAAAAATGAGGAATCCGTGTTAATTGATGAATATATCTGAGCATCTGTTCATCTACAGTACTCACAAAGTAGTAACTTAGCCTGAAATGTTTAATATAACAACTCTAGATAAAATATAGGTGAACAGATTTGGCTCACTATTTTTGCAATAAACTGGTCAGTTTCATCTCTCCGTCGCCCTTAATTAATGCATACTAAAGTGTTTATAGAGGAATTAATAATGTACCTATAAACTATTAGCATCTATAAGGGGATCCTTATTGTAAAGTGGTACCATAATTAGTTTTTACACAAATTTCAATACAGCATAAAGTGACTTTTAGACCATTTTTTTTCATAATAAATGCATTTCAGTGAAAGACATCAATAAAAAATAAAACCTTGACCAGCCCTTATTGTACAGTAAATAAAAACAAGTAAAAAGTATATTTAATTCAGAGCCTAGATTGATTTTATGTTTATGATGTTTATAAATATACAGTTTCAGTTTCTCTCATGCCGAGTCATAAGTGAATATAATCACGTTTTTTAGTGGCATTCTGGAGAAAAACTGAGCTCTTCTTTCTCATTCTCTGTGTTGACCATTTTATGTGTTGATATTTCAATATTGCCTGAATAATATCAGGGGTTATTATTGACTGTGGGTTGTGGTTGAGCAGATGAATTTAAAAAAGGTTTCATCGGCTCAAGCCCAGAACTCTGCCTCTCCAAAGTGTTGGTATGTGGATATTATGTGAATAATATCTGAGGCTGTATGAAATGATGCTTTTTAGTTGAGAGAACAGAATCCGTCTTAAAAGTTACCTTAGCTTAGTAATAGTATTTCATACAGATGATGACACACAAAAAACTCCTTATTCCTGTCCAAAATATATTAATTTAACATCAACGTTCCCCACTTAATATTTCTTCACTACAATAAAATACAAAACAAGTTTAGTTCTGTGTTAGGATACAACTCTCGTTTGAGCTTTGCAAGTCAAGAATCATTCTCCTCACCAAAATTCAACTTTCAACATCAGGAAGTCAAAAACATTTCCTTCATGTCCTGATGCATGCTCAATAATCTAGTTAGAAAAATCTAACAAAGTTAAATCAGGTCCTCTGGAAGTTTTTTTTATTAATAAAAAATGTATTAAATCAATTAATTAAAAATAATAATAATAATAAAGTGCTGTAATCAGTCTTACATTGGGGAAACTAAACAGCCACTGGCCAAAGGGAAGACCTGGCAAAGAATAGCAACATCATCAGGCCAGGCCTCTGTGGTCTACACTCATCTTCAGGTCAGTGGTCATGTTCAGGGATGAAAATGTTCACATCCTTGATAAGAGAGGAATGTTGGTTTGAGAGGAGTGAAGGAAGCCATCTTTGTGAAGAGAAACTTTCTATCATTAAACAGAGGCGGAGCCTCCGTATTCAACTGTCATCTTCTTACAATGCTGTTATTGCATCGCTCCCGGTGTCCCCTGTTATTGCCCCCCCGGTGCAGTAACTTAAGTCAGATGTGAGGTGCCAGGTGGTTCCATCCATCCATTATCTTTACCCGCTTATTCCATTTTGGGTCACGGGGGCCGCTGGTGCCCATGTCCAGCAATCACTGTGCGAGGGGCGGGGTACACCCTGGGTGCAAGTCCATCACAGGGCCACATAGAGACAAACGAGACAAACAACCATTCACTCTCTCACTCACACCTAGGGACATTTTAGAGTTACCAATCAGCCTAACATGCATGTTTTTGGACTGTGGGAGGAAACCGGAGCACCCGGAGAAAACCCACGCATGCACGGAGAGAACATGCAAACTCCACCCAGAATGGCCCCTGGACCGGGGTTTGAACCAACGACCTGCTCGCTGAGAGGCAGCAGCTCTACCAGTTGCGCCACCGTGCTGCCCTGCCAGGTGGTTGCGACGCTCAATTGGGCGGCCTGTGCTGGGTGCCCCCCACCCCCACTCCCACTCCACCCTCACCCACTCCATATGCCTATGTCTTATTAGGTCATCTGTATGTTGTTCTTTGTGCAGAGAGTTTTTTGCAACCTCACACTGTGTCCTGTGAGGGACACAGTTACCGCCTCTTTCCTCGTGTTTCTCTTTTCTTTATCTAACGACAAGGGCAGCGCCTCCCATGAGGCTGCAGCCTCAGGCACCCGTCTACCCATGTCTTATGTTGTTTGGTTGTCTTTTTGTTTCTCTATACGGCTGTACTGAAATTAAATTTTGTTGTGCTTCTGCGCAATGACAATAAAGGCATTCAGATTCTAAATTCTGACTCAGCCCTCTGTGAATAGCAGGCGGCCATCAGAGCACTAACAATCCATTGTTAGGCTGATGGTCCTCTATCATGTGAACAGCTGGTTTTGGATGTCACCATCAAACTGATTAATCCACTATGATAAGGGGCTATTTATAAGACTGAGTTTAATGCAGCTCCTCAGACTGAAGAAGTCTTTTGGATAAAAGATGAAATGTTTCAACAAGAAGAATCTGTCTAGAGGACCTGACTTTACTTTGTTAAATGTTTCTACCTGGATTATTGAGCATGCACCAGGATATTTATTTGTTTAAGTTTTGGCAATGTCTCGTCGATATCAGGCGTGTGAGACTTCAAGGATATTTAAAGATAAAACAGGAGTTTAAAATAAATGCGTAAAGGGTTTTTGCACAGCTTTATAAAGCAAGTGATTTTAATTATGACTATGTATGCATAGCATTCTTGTTCCTTTTTCTGATTAAAATGTGTCTGTATGTGGTGTTCTACACAAACTTCCATGTTTTTCCATGTAGTCTGAGTTAATGTGTATGAGATGATTGTATAGTGGGTGTATGAGGTCTAGATATGGAGAGCGTGTGTGTGCGTTTTCCCACTCCACTTGGTGTAATCTCACGATTCAGTGGTTCAGAGAAAATCTCCCTTTAAAAAAAACCCTATCATTTATGGATTTCTCCGACCAGCTCTCCCTCCCAGAATCTCACTTTGTCAACAATAAATGAAGTGAATGCTTGATCAAACGAAGCCTCGCCGTTTGAAAACTCAATGGTTAGCTCGGAAACAGCAGTTCATTGCTCAAAGAAATTATTTCCGCCTTGAAAACTGAAAACACCCAATGGTTATTGTAAACGTGTCCGTGCAACTGCCAACCAAAATTGCACACACTTCTGTTTCATGCAATACAAAAACAAGTTAACATTTATATCATTTTAACTACAATATAAAATCATTTAAACTGTTTGAAAAGCACTTTGCTGTGTATCTTTCGACAAAAGACTGGAAAAAATGTGAAAGGTGGCCGAGATCAAATCCCAAAGGCAATACTTTTAGCCATTTTAACTTTTTCAGTTGGGCTAACACTGTGATCCTGACTGAAACGACCTATAACTACATAAATACAATAAACATTATAGATCATGTCCAGAGGGTGGCTTAGTGTTGATTTTTGTTGAGTAATCATCAGCAGGTTAAAACTAGTGGATAATGAAGACTTTTGTGATGTGAATTAAATACATTTTCTCACAACAGCAAAAACTGTTTCTATGAAAAACTAAATTTGAAGAAATAAAATCTGATGACTCTGGTTTGTCAAGGAGCTTGTAATGAATTTGGCAAGAAGAATCTTTAAATAGTTTTATTCAAAGCCACTCAGTTTATTGTTCCTGTGGTTACCAGTGTGAGGAAGCTTTAGAAGCTGAGCTGAACCCTAGGAGAGAGAGAGGAAGTAAGCATACTTTATCAAACAATGTTCAGTCAAGTCAACTGGACAGATACTTTTGTTGCGGAGACATTTCGTCCTTCATCCGAAGGACTTCTTAAATTCGAAGAGCCACCAAACCAAACTGAATCCCACAAACAGGATGCTCCCGAAGTGGAAAAAAAAAAAGATTTGTTGGTGATAAGATGGCCTCCGAGGCCTGCTCTCTCCCCCGTCAACTCCTATAAAGGCAGCCATGCCAAAGTTGTTCAAAACACCAAAGTTCAAAGTGAAGAAGTCCTTCGGATGAAGGACGAAATGTTTCAGCAACAAAAGAAACTGTCCAGATGACCTGATTGAACATTGTTGGGTTTATACCTGGATTCATGAGCATGAACTTTGGTATAATTTATCAAGTTTCCTAAATTCAGCTTTTAGATTATTTCAGCCCGTTAAATAAATTAATAACTAAAGTGTCATCAGCATATCATGTCTACTTGTGGAAAAAGAGGGTTCAAGTTTAAGCTTTTGTAGTAAATTAAGCCAGTTATAATTACTAGCTTAAAACAAATATATTCAGATTTTTTAAATAAAATAAAGCATGCAATGAGTAACTTGTAAGTTTAGTATCATACTTTGGTTTTTAGACTATTTTTTTGCAGTCTTGCATTTAGTTTACAAAATTTGCAAAAAGAACAACTTGATGTATTACAGGTGTGAAACTGTCAGTTCAGTATCAAGTCGTAGTAAACTGAGACGATAAATGTGAAATTTTTAATTTGTCAGGTGTTTTCCAGGAAAAAAAAAATCACTAAATCACCTATCACTGCTACTATTTATTAAACCACTTATAGCATGAACATTTTAAATGGTAACAGCTGTATCAGCTAATTCTGTTGCAACTCAGAACGGCTCAAATTCATTAAAACTCTAAATTATATTAGTACTATTTGAAGCTTTTGTCAAACATCTCAAAATCCATCAAGGATTGTTGAATACAATACATGTTTGTTTGTTTTCTTGTCATGAAAGGAAACTTAAGCAATAAAAAATAAATTAAATGCATGTACTCACCCTCATCCTTACAAGTCCTTGCGCCTCTGTGCACGAGTGTGTCAGCCCGTAACAGTAACATTTGCTGCAGCCTAGTGGATTGTTCACAGATAATCCAAATGTGTCTGGTTTACAGCGATCACAGTTGTGGCCTTCCACATTTTCCTACAAGACACAGACAGATAAATGGTATAAGGAATGATTTGCGTCAGTATGTTGGACTTTTCCATTGAGACCTTATTTCTACATCTCTTTGAGGCTGATTGTTAATTTTGGATAAAAGTTCCCTTGGGAAGAATTGTCTTGTAAGATAGTATATACTTTATGAGATTCAAAATTTTGCCTAAATTGTTCCATCTTGTGAGTTTTTGTATCTAGGCATTACCCCCTCTTAACGTCAAACTCTCAAGAGTTAGTTCACAACACATCTTTATTTCTCATGCGAGTTTTATCCAGTCTTGAAAATTGTTGGATAATTATCTCTGCAAAATGTCTGAAACTCAGTAGATGGAAACATTCTTTGGAGCAATATGGACAATGCGCCAGATGGAATTTTTATCTATCCTTAACAAGATGGCAGTCCGAAAAGTGACAACCTTTGTGTAAAAACAGATGACCCTCCGACAAAAACGAGCTTCGAGGGAGAACCCTCCATCACCAATAAAATGAATCCTGATCAGGGTCTGATGACAGAGGACTGCACTCAGGGCGCTGCATCTCGCAGCATTTACGCATGCGCACTTAGTTTCAAGTTTCAAAGAACATAGCACCAACTAGTGGCGTGGCGAGGGAATTACACCTTTTCCACGACTACCGTTGTGTAAACAGAGATTGTAATGAGAACGATTTCATGTAAATGTGTTAATAGAAATAGGGAAAAAAAATCAGTTTTCATTGGATCGTTGTCGTGTGAACAGGGTCTTAAATCATTCTAGTATACTGTATGTACCGGTGGATAAACTTTCTTCCATCAATTCCACATTGATTCACAACTATTTTTATGCTGGGCAGAATTTTATTGTGTTCACAAAGTACCTCAAGACAATATAAGATTTCAGAAAATATATAAAGTGCATCTTTTGGAGCACTTGTAGACTTTTCCAACTGTGGCACTTGGATCAACACTTTAATTTGTTCATGTTTTTAGTATTTTACACTGCTCTACTTGGCCCGCTGACTTTCCCTCCTCCCCTTATTTTTGTGACAGAATATAATTGACGTGCGATGTTCCGCATGTTTTTATCAGAGTGTAAAATGTTCAGAAAGTTTGGACTAAATGCAGAAGAGTACAGATTGAATAGAACACTCACTTCATCGAGAAGTTTATCCGTGAATAAATATATTTTCGAACGCCTTCTTTTTACCAACCAAGTTTATTGCAATTGTTTTGTATGCATGGAACTTATTTCCAGTAGCAGGGAGTAAAGTATTTCATTGTTCTATGTTTGTAGAAATACAACAGTCAAATAAACATCACTCAAACGGCTGAAGTAACAGTGGGACAGGTGATGAATAGATGAGTGAAATGCTGCCAACCTGTCGAGAGAAGACACTTAAGATCTAAAACCTCAAAGGCCACCTGATGTTTGTGTTAGTATTACTGTGTAGCTTTATTTATTTATGTACAGTTTTTTTTAATGGCACAATGTCAAAGTTACAAATGAGATTAAACGTGTCAGTTTAAGTCAGATTCATGTGTGTATTAAGAAATTAGCTTGTCAAAAACAGGAAGCTTAAAAGTGAGTAAATTTGTACGCCTTTATATAGATAAGTTCAATATGAAAAATGTATAACTAAGAACAGGTAACACAAAAACACACCTCCAGTTGAACAGCTACACAATTCTCAAAGCTTAACCTAAACACTAAAAACGTCATTTATATAAATAACTTGAAAAATGTTTTAAACAGACATTGCTGGAGAAAGGACCTGCTCCGCCACGAGCCGGAAATAAAATAAAGAGGTAAAGAAAATGGACTGATAAATAGACGGACTAGAATACAAATGAGAAAATATTCTCAGAAGGATTAAAAAAAAATCTGAACTAAATTGCTCATCTGTCATACAGGATTACAATGATCACAGTGGCTTTATTTCCACAAGAAAAAGAAAAAAAGTGTAAATTTTAATCCACCTCTTAGTGTCTCGACACCATATTTTCAGCAATCTCACAGACACTTAAATATTGAACAACTTGAAGCTGAAATAAGAGAATGATTCGCATTGAAGCATCCCATTGAAAAGGTATTCATTGAAAGCAGAAGGGCTTCTACATTCTACCTTGCAGCTGCATTTCCCAGTGTGATCTGCGCAGGCACACACTTTTCTCTCCAGGTCGCAGGTCTGGCTGTCCGATCCTGCAGCGTTACACTCGCATCGGATGCACTGTTGGAAACAAATGCAAACATGCCATGCTGTGAGTCACAGTGGAGTCAGGACTTAATACTCAAAACCTCTGGACAGATTGTAAGGAAACCATCAGAAAGTTATTTTTGTGATGTGCATCTACAACTGGTTAAGGTTTGGGGTCTACTCAATACAATATGGCCGCCACAGCTAACCGAACGTACAAAAAGACTAGCGCAGTTTTACAGATAAGCTAGGATTTGGTGTGGTAGTAGTTGAGTGTCTAACACATTATGAAAGCTACACATTGCACAAGATCTTTGCTGAAAACTTTGACATTATTAAACAACTCTGTTAAAAACCTCAGCCGGTCAAAACAGATGGCCGCTCGTCCTGAGCCTGGTTCTGCTGGAGGTTTCTTCCTGCTAAAAGGGAGGTTTTCCTTTCCACTGTTGCCTTTGTGCTTGCTCAGGATGGGAGACTAGCTAAGGAAGCCAGTAGATTGCGTTGAACCTTCACTTCGTTGCAAATAACTTTAATTGGCTTTTAATGTACTGTATGTGAATGTTTTTGTTCAGTGCCCTGAGATAACTTCTGTTGTGACTTGGCACTATATAAATAAACTGAATTGAATTGTTAGTAAAATATATATCATGCACCACAGGATGGATTTTGATACAATTCCAAGAGTGTTATAGTTCGATGCCCATCTACAACTGAATAACTTAAAGCCAATCTATTTCAAGACGGTCACCGCAGCTAAACAACAGCCAACATAAAAATGGTTTTAGCTCAGTTTTACAGATACCAAGCTCAAATTTGATGGGATAGTAGCTGAGAGTTTCATACACATACGCCAAGAGTTAACACATTTTGTGAGATCTCACATTAAATCACATGAGATGGCACATAACGTCATTTACAAGGTTTGACCGAAAGGGCTATAAACTTGATTTTTTTCCTCAGCCTAAGATGTTAGTTTAAAATTGAGATGAAAGTTTTGTGGGCAGTATACATTCTGTAAAGAAATGCTGGGCTAATAATTCATATTAGACTAGCCCAGTAATTGATATTAGCCCCTGGATGTTTTCAGATGTTGCTACACTTGTAGGCAATGGCGACAGAAACATTTGTAATGTGTGCGTGTGTGTTGGGGGTGGTACTGGTGGTGGTGTTGAAGGTGAATTTTGAATAATTTCCTGCATTCTGGTGTATTTTAATATGTTGCTAAACACCTACGTTTACCTACAAAAGTCAACACTTAATTCCATAACCATTTTAAGAGAGCAACAAGAAGTAGTCTGACCAACAGCTCTCCTTGTATGCATAGAGCACGCTCCCTTCTCTCATGCATTTTAGTCCCCCCTACGTGTTGAAAACTGCTGGAACTAACGTAGCGCTAAGCTAGCGGCACACAATACAGACACGCTAGCTAAGATGCTACAGACGTATCGCTCCGCTTCTCTCGCACATCCTAACCCCTCCCACCCCCCGTCAACAACTGCCAGCACTAACGTGGCGCTAAGTTAGCGTGCAAAACAGAGGTGTCTCTCCCTCCTCCCCCCATGAGCGCCTTGCCAAGGCAGATGATCGAGGAGAAACACCGCATGCAGTGTGGAGTTGTTGTTGGTAACCAGGAAAACCCGAAGTGGATTTGTAGTGGTTTGAATATTCTCTTATCATTCAACTGGAATGGATTTGTTCACGATGCCTATGCCTGTAGGAAAATGTTTTGTTTTTGTTTTTTATGAAGAGGATGTGCACAATGTTAGAACGTCAAAGATTTGTACTAACTGAGTGAGTGGTTTAGTATGTCGGGGGTGAGAAAAAACAAACGGTAAAAGAAAAATATTTTGAATCTTGAAACCATACCTGAGGAAAGTCTCTGTATCCGATCTGACATTCGTCACACTTCTCTCCTCTGAAGGAATCGCGACAGAAGCAGCAGCCCGTGTTCACGTTACACTGCTGGGTCACTGAGCCGATCACGTTGCAGCCGCACTCCTATTTTCAAACACACAAATCCAAAAAAAAACCACCAAGGTCAATGATTTTTTGTCATTCACCACAAAAACTACTGATCAACAGTAAAAGAAGAATATTTGCAGATCGACTTCTGTGAAATAAAAAGATGAACTTGGATGTTTAACATACCGTGAGGTTTGAAACTGATTTGGTATCTAAACTCTTCAAAGTGTGAAAAGTCTAAAAACACATTTTGTTCCATTTTTTTGTTTTAGATAAAAAAAAAATTAAAAAAAATGAAGAATTCCAACATTTAGATAAAAACCCTGAGATTGTACTAGTTGAGGTATTTTAAGGACTAAAGCAACAATCTTCTTACTGATAAGGTGACAATAGATTTTGTGTCTACTTTTTTGTATTTTACTTGTTCAGTCTTGTGTTATAGACTTTTTATGTTGTATCATTACTTCATAATCTGTAATTTGTAAAGTTTAATTTTTAACACCTTTCTGTGCGGCACCATTCTGTCAATCTTCATCACCTTTGTGCTTGTTTTGTCCTCCATTCTTTTGATCAGCTGTTGAACTAAGATTGAACGTGTTTCCCTGTTCATACTTCTTCCGCTTGTACTAAAGTTTAACAACTTAAAGGTTCAGATAAAAGTTGCCTCAAGGCAACAATGTACTTTCACTGTAAAACTGTTTTCATTTGCTTTGAGCTTGGGGGCAGTGATCCTACGGGCATGTTAGCATGGACTTTGTTGGTTCAGTAAGAGTTGTTTTTAAGCGTATAAAATGAGAAATAAACAGGCCCTCATTGGGCTAACCATTAGCCTAGCCATCTGAAGACATCTGCTCTTTTCTTGGTGCTGTATGACTCATAAGTTACCAACTATATAACGGAACGTGATGTCAAAAATGACTAACCTATTCCTTAAAAAAGGCAAAACAGAGGGAGGAGATTTAAAGATTTGACTAAAAGAGTGGCTTGACAGAACAGATAAAAATGGATTAAAAGTACAATTCTGCAAATATTGAGCTACAACAGTTTATTTCAAGGATTTCTGAAGTTTGTTTTACAACCACAGGATTAAAAAAAAAAAGGAAGATTCCTCACCTTGCACCCGGTTATGATGTCATGGCCCCAGTAATTTGGAGCACAGCGATCGCACCTCTCTCCAATGGTGTGAGGAGGACAGATACACTGACCGGTGTTTGCATCACAGTTATTCCCCACATGACTGCACTGACAGGCTGCAAGACAGGAACACAACGGGTGAATTTACAAAACATCCAACAGCAAGTACCGTTTTTCTAAACCCTATTAAAGACAAAAATATCTATCTGTAAAAATACTACCTTTTATTTCTATATTAACTCTCTGAAATTCAACATCCTACATTTGTCTTTCTTGCTCAGAGAGGTTGACTTTCATACACTAATTGGCAAGTGGAAACAGGTGTGCTAATTAAGATGAAGGAGCAGGTGTGTTGACTGGCAGGGAGAGACCGGAGAATTACAAAGAAACTGAAAATAATATTTAAAAAAATACCTTGAAATGACCTAATTAATTTAAATTTTTAAGAATCATTTGCATTATTTCATCTCCACATTTTCCACTGGATACAAGCATATTCAACATTATTCTATTTTTTAACCCATTTTTTATTTTTGTTTCATTATCTTCACAAATGCTGATATGTTAGATGTGGTTTTGGTCATTGCCTACTGAAAGGTCAATAATGTTTTTGCCTGTGTGTGTGTGTGTGTGTGGGGGGGGGGGGGCATGTTGGCAAAATAGCTATTGTATAGAGGTTCCTAATAAAAATAAATTTAAGGAAGCCTAATAACTGAAGTTTAAGCAAGTTAAAATAGAAACAGTATATTTCAATGAATAGTACTCGTTGGATGTTTGTCTATAACTGATAACCTTTTTGAGTCAGTCCAATTAAAGATGGCAGCTACAGGCAACTTACCTTTGGAAACATAAATGTTATTGAGCCTAAATATGTCATGACCTCCACCAAGTCTAGCATTAAAGTCGGTGGGTTTGCGCAAACTAAGAAAGGCATTTGTCAACACAAATCACAGCAACACCCCACAGAATCAAGCATTTAAAACATAAACAAAATAAAACCTTTGAGGTTTTCTCCTTACGTGTGCAGCCACCCTCCTGGAAGTTAAAGAATCCTCTTGAGCATCGGTCACATTTGGGTCCTGTGACGCCTGGCTGACACCGACACTGACCCGTTTCATCGCAGTCAAAGGACTTGGAACCAAATGAGTTGCAGTGACATGGGAGACAAGCTCCACCTGTAGTGATGCCGTGAGTCTGAGGCTGAAAATAAAGACATGTTCATGGCATGTGAGTCAACAAGCAGAGAATTTGGGTCGGATTATCTGCAGATTCTTTATAAAGTCAGACTGCATAATTTAGGATTTTGGAATTTAGAGTAAGATGCAGAGAAAATTGCAAATAAATTAAAATATATATACAAATAAATACACAGAACGAACAACCTTGCGGGCGCTTTGCCAAAGCAGTGCCATGCAGGTCAGTTCAGGGAACTGAATTTTTACATGTAAAAACAGATTGTTTTACTATGCTACACGAAAATGCTATTTATATATTTATTTTAGGGACGCACAATATTATCGGCATAAGCCAATATTAGCAATAAAGTTACATATCGTACAACGGCCATTCCATAAAAAAATAAAAAAAACATCTATATAAAAGGCTTCTGCTGTAAGTTATTTTTTTAATTTAAGAAACTATCAAGTATATATATTAATGCACTACTACTTATAAGCTTTTAACTTGTCGCTTGGGAACAGGTCGAGTTTAGATTTGTGAAAATTTACAAATTTGCACTGTTCGAGTGTTATTATGTTAGAGAGTAAATGTCATGAATAAATTTGACATTAAACATAATACAAGTTGAAGTGTTGCATCATTTTCATCCCCCTTTTTGGCATCTGCTTTTGGTAGCAGGCCAAACTTACAAAGACCATGCAGAATAATGTAGTATTTTAATTACACCGCAGAGAAAGCTATGTAGTCTCTGTAAGTAGGTCTGGGGGTGGGGGGTGGGGGAAATATCGGTATTGGTATCGGCATATGTATATCGGCCAAAAATCCAATTTTGTGCATCCCTAATTTATTTATATACATATCAATAGGTATAGATTTTCTTCATTTATAAATTAACTAAAAATAACAGAAAACAGTCATGCAAGCCTAAATGTTCAATGCCATGCGATGTTTTACAAATCCTGGCCATCGAGTACAGTTGGAGAATTGTTGCACACCAATAAACAGAAACACACCCATGCTGCTTTAAACACACCACTGCCATCCACATGCAGTGTGTGTTACCCCTGTGTGAGGCTTGTATGCTCCCCTGGGACAACCCCCTGTACGGGAGGTGCCCCCCCATCTCTGCTGTACAGCTTCAATGGGAACCCGCTCCACAGGCCGCCGTGTCTCCCGCCTTTCATAGCTTAGGCGACGCAGGTCACAGCGCCGGCCCACGAAGCCGGGGCGACAGATGCAGCGACCCTCGATGTCGCAGCGCGGAGACATAGAGCCGAAAAGACTGCAGCGACAGGGCATACACTCCTCACGCTCAGCATCCCACCAGCAGTTAGGCTGGACCAATCACAACACAGATGGATGGAGGCGAGGCAGGCAAAGAACCAATGACAGTAAGTGAAAAAAATAGACTTGGGTGCAAACAGATAAAAGTGAATACATTTAAAAGAGGAAACTTAAAACTCGCAAAATAAAATAAAATGAAACGATTCAAAGAAAAATGTTTTGTGGGTGAAATTACAGAAAAGAGTCAGTTAACTTTAAGATTTTATGCCACAAATTGAAAACTACAAAAATGAACAAAAAAATTAAAACAATGTAGTCATAATAAACACTTTTGTTTTGCTGTACAACTTCACCTTGGGTTAAAAAGTCATCACTGTTTCCTTAGTTTCAATAATATTTATAATGTAATTGATTTCTTCTGGGAAGAATACATCAAGTAGAATGTAGAATTTAAGTCAGCAGTCAAAAATTAGAGAATAAAAATTCATAAATAATGGCAGAAACCAAAAGGAATGCTTACCATGCACTCATCGCACTTTCGTCCAACCACGTTTTCTCTGCACTGGCACTGACCGCTGTCCTTGCTGCAAACCTCAGAAACAGAACCATTGATGTTGCATTGGCAGGCTGTAAGGACAGGAAACAAAGAATCATTCATCCATCATCATCATCTTCTGCTTGTTCTTAAGTCAGGTCTCGGGGGCAGCAGCTTGAGCAGGGAGGCCCAGACATCTCTTTCCACAGCCACCTCTTCCAGCTCTTCTGGGAGGATTCCAAGGTGTTCCCAGACAACCGAGAGAACTAGTCTCTCCAGCAACAAAGTCCATGCTCAATCTAGTCTCTCCAGCGTGTCCTGGGTCTTCCCCGGGGTCTCCTCCCAGTTGACCATGCCCGAAGCATCTCCCTAGGGAGGCACCCAGAGAGAATCCTTACCAGATGCCCGAACCACCTCAACTGGCTCCTCTCGATGTGGAGGAGCAGCAGTTCTACTCAGAGTCTCTCCCAGATAACCGAACTTCTCACCCTATCTCTAAGGGAGAGTCCAGCTACCCTGCAGAGAAAACTCATTTCAACCACCTGTATCTGCAATCTCATTCTTTCGGTCACTACCCAAAGATCCTGACCATAGGCGAGTGTAGGAACGTAGACTGACCGGTAAACAAAGACCTTTGCCTTACAGCTCAGCTCCCTCTTCACCACAACGGACCGGTACAGAATCCACAATACTGCAGATGCTGCACCAATCCGTCTATCAATCTCATACTTCATTCTTCCCTCACTCATGAACAAAACCCCAAGATACTTGAACTCCTCCACTTAAGACAGAACCTCACCCTCGACCTGAAGAGAGAAATCCACCCTCATCCGACTGAGGACCATGGCTTCAGATTTGGAGGTGTTGATTCTTGTCCCAGTCACTTCACACTCTGTTGTAAACCATTCCAGTGACAGCTGTAGATCACGGCACAATGACGCTAACAGGACCACATCATCTGCAAAGAGCAGAGATGGAATCCTGAGGTCACCAAACCGGACTCCCTCTGCCCCCCTGGCTGCACAGAGAAATTCTGTCCAAAGAATCAAACTGACTAATAATCATGAACTTGTCTTGGTTCTTCTCTAAAGTGTGAAGGACAAGAGCTGAGAGCCAACTAAATGTCTTCAACAGACTTAATTATATTTTTGTAATTCATTCAACCTTTATTTAGACAGGTAATCCCATTGAGCCTGTAATGTACATTACACAATGTAATGCCCCCATTAGAGTCCTAGTATTTGACTGCTGGTGACTAGCAGATGAACAGCAGTCGTGTGAGAGGCTAGAATGCCTTGCAATTTTTGAAGGGGTTCTCGGTGCCTCAGTTGCCTTACTCAATTGAATTTTGAGCATATTCAAAAACGTGCAACAAAATTTCTCAAAAATAATCACAGAGTCATCGCCGGTGTCTCAAACCCATCTTACTTTTGTTGTGTGTGCCTCCAACCACACGCAAGAGCCTTAGACCTGTATTTTGACACCAACGCTGGAGCTTTCCTCTGAGGCTCTGACAGAAAACGTATCCAAAACAAATATGTCAATGATTGTAATTAAAAATACTGGATCCTAATGTGCTTTTCCTCTTTTCCAGTAAATCAAAAGTTGTTAAATAACTATCTGCTGAGGTAGGTACAAAGCAAACTAAGTAAGGTATGATATGGGCAGAAGTAGGTAATGAAATAAAGTGCATGCCTTAGAAAACTGTTTCCTCAGGCAAACACACACAAATAAGCCTCGACTTTCAAAAGAATGGCTCACAAATCACAGACCCACAACTCAATAGTCACTTGATTGCAAATACTTAGAATTTAGTGAGACTGCAACAAAAAATGTGCATAATATCTGACAAAATTGAGTCAAGTTGTCAGCAGGTCTCGAGCAGTTGTAGCTCGGTGAGACACTGCCTTTAGTCTGACATGGTTTAGTTTAAAAGTCGTTGACAAAACCAGAGTGCTTAGAGAATTATTACAGCCATCTTTTTGGAGCCAAAAGTGACTGTTTTGGACTAGGTGTGAGTGAGAGAGTGAATGGTTGTTTGTCTCTGTGTGTCCCTGTGATGGACTTATGACCTGTCCCTTGGGTTCCCCTCACAGTGACTGATGGATATGGGCAAGAGGGACCCTCATGATCTAAAAAGGAAGAAGTGGGTAAAGATAATGGATGGATGATGGATGGATGAAAAGATAGATGGATGATGGATGGATAGAAGGATGAAAAGATAGATGGATGATGGATGGATGGATGGATGGATGGATGGATGGATGGATGATGGATGGACAGATGGATTAATAGATGGATGGATGGATGGATGGATGGATGAAAAGATGGATGGATGGATGAAAAGATGGATGGATGGATGGGTAGAAAGGTGGATGGAAAGATGGATGAATGGATGGATAGATAAATGGATGGATGGAGTAGCCAAAAGCCAAGACCTTCAAAAATCCTGTAAATATTTTTAAAAGGATCGCTTCAAAACACTTCAACAACTTTTGTCTTCACAGGTGCAAATATAAAAATTTAGGAATGGTTTAAAATATTTGCACAGTACTGTATAGGAATAAACTTGTTGGACAAAACTAACATAATTTTCCCTTTTTTTACTCTTTAATTATGATACTTTTCACAACTTTATCTTTTGCAAACTTTATGAGCTTAAATCCCGGCTGATTACAAATGACACCTATTTACGCCAGTCAACCCCTTAGATACACAATTAAAAACTTGAACATCACACCTTCCATCTGTTACATAAGCTGTTACAACATATACGAGTGCACACACAGAACTGTACGCAACGCAAACACTTTGTAATGAAATCAGTGGCACGCATCAGATCACTTCGCAGGAACGTACGCAGGTACAAGTCTGCTTTGCCTGCTGGCAGTCTTTCATCTTGAGTGTAAGACAGGAAGAAGGATAGACATGATTGTGAGATGTTAAAAGTCTGAGGGATGGTGGAGGTGGCTCACAACAAATGTCCACACAAACACAGTCAGACACAGAGGTGTCCTCCCACACACCAACATCAACATGTACTGTGTTCATGTGCATAAATATAATATAAAAACAGAAATGCATAAAAACATCCACATGCATGCTTATCTCTGTCTCTGCATCTGGACTTTATTCGGAGGTGCTATAATAAAAGCTTTGTTGTGGGATAAAATGTTGCTTTCCATTCACCAAAGTTCATGCTCAATAATCCAGGTATAAAATCCAACAAGGTTCAGTCAGTTCATCTGAACTGTTTCTTTTTTGTGCTGAGACGTTTCATCCGTCATCCAACAGACTTCTTCAATCTGAGGAGCCACTAAACAAAACTGATTCTCCACCAACAGCATAATCCAGAGTGGAAAAAAACTGTTGCTTTCCATTGTGTTTTAATTAGCTCTCAAGATTTTTTTATTTTATTTAACAAAACATAATGTCGTGTTATTCACTAACCATTTATGGGATTAGCATTCATTTAGAAACTAAAATCCAGCCAGCCATCCATCCATCCATCCATCCATCCATCCAATCCAGCCATCCATCCATCCATCCATCCAATCCATCCATCTATCCATCCAATCCAGCCAGCCATCCATCCATCCAATCCAGCCAGCCAGCCATCCATCCAATCCAACCAGCCAGCCATCCATCCATCCAATCCAACCAGCCATCCATCCATCCAATCCAGCCAGCCAGCCATCCATCCAATCCAACCAGCCAGCCAGCCAGCCATCCATCCATCCATCCAATCCATCCATCCATCCATCCAATCCAGCCAGCCAGCCATCCATCCATCCAATCCAGCCAGCCAGCCATCCATCCAATCCAACCAGCCAGCCATCCATCCAATCCAACCAGCCAGCCATCCATCCATCCAATCCAACCAGCCATCCATCCATCCATCCATCCAATCCAGCCAGCCATCCATCCGTTATCTTTACCCGCTTCTTCCTTTTCGGGTTGCAGGGGTCACTGGTGTCCATATCAAGCAGTCACTGTGTGAGAGGCGGGGGACACCCTGAACAGGTCTCCAGTCCATCACAGGGACACATGGAGACAAACGAGACAAACAACCATTCACTCTCACTCACATCTAAGGACAATTTAGAGTTATCAATCAGTCTAACATTTTTTGGGTTTTGGTCTGTGGGAGGAAACCGGAGTACCTGGAAAAAACCCACGCATCCACAGAGGGAACATGCAAACTCCACCCAGAAAGGTCCCTGGCCAGAATTCGTTACGGCAACTTTCTCTCCGAGAGGCAACAGTTTTATCAGCTCAGCCACTGTGCCAACTAAAATCTCTTCAGTATTTATTTTGATATGAGCATCATCAAGTTGACCCACTACAGTATGTGAGTGTGCTGCTTGTGGGACTGAGTTTGTTGTGGCTCCCCGGACTAATGAAGTCCTTTGGATGAAAGACGAAATGTCTCAACAAAAAAAGAAACAATCCAGATGACCTGACTTAACTTTGTTGGACTTTTGACCTGAATTATTGTGCATGAACTTTGA